TACTATTGTAATTTGACCACAAGTTTATTTATGACAATTGACAAATAATATATATATAATAATCTTACAATTTTCCACCTTTTATCATTGTATATATGCATATGACAATTAGTCCAATATTTAGTTATCTGAATGACAGCAATTTCCATAGAATTTCCTAGCTAGTCCAACATACACGCTGCCGGATCAGATCATTAACTGCTTCTAGAGAGTTTTTGTCTATTTAATTTTCTTTGGGCCAGAAGTCTACCAGCTGTAATTATGGTACATCAGCCTGCAAGACTTCAATTATATGCATATAGGTATCGTCATGGAGAGTTGAATAAATGAACATAACTGTATATATATGTTACAAATGAAAAAGAAAAGTATATGTTACACCATATAAATGTATGCTCGAGTAGAAGAATTTTATCTTTTTTTCCTCATGGTTTTGTATCAAAGCAAAGGTCAACACCATGACAAGTTACTTAACCAAAATGACAAGGAAAATAATTCAATTAAGAAATTAATTAATTTGTGGTAGAAGTCCATTATTAACGTTAATTGTGGCAACTTGCTTTTTTTTAATTATTTGAGATGTATATATCTGAAACTGAGTAAATCACTGGTGTCCTAGCATTGTTGCTGCTTCATATAGCATATCCAGACTAAGTAAATTTAAGCTGAGTTCTAACTTCTAAGTTCAGGCTGGGGTGGGCTATCATATCATTTTTCATTAGCACCATTACCAAACTACTAAACGCTGCAATTTTTTTAAAAATCAAATAAATATATTTTCAAATTATAATAACTAATACTTAATTAATTATGTGATAATTACTCATTTCATTTCCCGTATCAAATTTTTTTTAAAAAATCAAATAAATTATGTGATAATTAATTATGCGCCACGTATCAATTTTTTTTAAAAAATCAAATAAATATATTTTCAAATTATAATAACTAATACTTAATTAATTATGTGATAATTACTCATTTCATTTCCCGTATCAGGAAAAAAAAACTCACCTCTAAACTCACATTTAGCTTTAGAGGAGCAAGTTTGTTAGGTTGAACTCTTTCTAGCAACTCAAAATAGCATCTTCCTCATTTCCCATTAGCACAATTCCTAAATTACCAAATGACATGTTTTGTGTCGTTAAAAAAAAAGACATGTTTTGTGAAAAATTTCAACATAGAAGTTCTTTTTTAAAAAAAAATCAAATAAACAGTTTTTCAAGTTAATACTTAATTATCCATACGCAAATTATTATTCTTGTTTTGTTTTGTGTGTAGGGAAAGATCAACCCAATTTGCCTTGTCGAACATACCCCTGATCAAGCCACACGAAAAAAGAGAGGAGGTCATGCTAATTTGGCCAATCTTCTACTTGTCATAGGAGGTCATGATTAATGATCATTTTCTTTTCTGATTAATGACCCTAATATTAATATACTAGTATTTTAGAACAAGCTAAGCTTAGTCAGACGGAAAAAAAAAAGGAAGAATCTGGAAGATATTTGTACTTACAGTGGGACCCACATGGTGACGTGTACGCAGTAACTCCACCACAGCAACTTGCAGTCCAAGATGGGCCAAGCTGCCGTCGCCGAGGGAGCACGGCAACCTGCAGCTGAAGGAATAGTCCAACGTACGTGGCGCTGACGTGGACGTTTGCCAGCACAAGAGGCTGGCAGCTTGGCAGCTGACGTCATGTAATCTAATGGAAAATTTCATCTTTGTACTGTAGAACTTAAGTAGCTTCAATTTTATTAACCACCTTGAGATTATAAACATTGTCTCCCTCTATTTAAAATTATTTGTTATTCTAAATTTGTTTTTAAGTCAAACATTTTTGACAAACAATTTCTATAAACTTATATAATTTAACATCGTAAAATTTATTTTTTTACCATAAGAAATATTTTCATAACATAAATTGAAATATTGGTAACTACATGGATTTCTAAAAATTAATCATCAACGATAAACATGGTTGATTAACAAAACTAGAACGGCAATCAATTTGAAACGGAACAAGTAGAATGCTTGCGTGTCTTGTTTCACTTGTACGTCAGTGAATTTAATCAAACAAGTGATGATGGGATTGTTTGATCTTATTGGCGATACTGTTGTTAATTACTTGGCTATCTCGAATTCTAGATACATTTTTTCTTATACTACTACTAGCTCTGTCCGTATCACTCCACTACGATGTCATTTCTAATGGATGAAATCTTTACCTACGAACTTTGGCGGGTTGAGGGCCCCCGTGCCGCTCCAGGCGCAGGGGCGACACGGGCGGCGACCACCGCCGCCTTCCTCCCTCCTCCGCCTCGCCGCCGCCCGAGCAGACCACCGGAAACCGCGCGGCTGCGAGGAAGGCGGCGGCGGGGCCTTCCTTCTCCCTCGAAGGCGTGGGTCGGCGCCCACGACCCTGACCAGATGGGAGCGACGACGGTGCGGCGGTATCGGTGTCGGTATCGGGGCGTCGGGCTGGGCGCGCGGAGGCGACTGGGTGCGGAACGGGGGTGGCGGCGACGGTGCCGGATTTGGCGTCCCTCACAAGATCCAGCGGTTTGGCCCCCTCCCGAGACGACGGCGGCACCCAAGGAGGTGGGGAAGGGAGATGGCATGCGGTGGCCGGGGAAGGTGGAGCAGCAGCAACGGCGCTCCCTTGCGTCGCCCACCCAGGGCGGCTCTCTAGATCCGGGCTGGGGGAGAGGTCGGTGCCGGGGCGGCGCGGAGACCGGCAGGGGGCGGCATCGCGGTGGGCGGGCGACGGCAGTGGCCATCGATCAAGTCGAAGCTGCTCGCTGATGGGGGTGCGGCGATGCTTGGCAACGATGATATGTTGTAGTCTCTTTCAAGGAGTTATGGTGCTGGCCATGTGAAGGAAGTGGCTCCTCGGTGGCTTGGCTGATGTCCATTGTTGGACGTCGGAGCCGCTTTTCGCTTTGGCAACTTTCGTCTTCAGTGTCGCTACGGTTGTGAAGTCGACGCTGCTGGGTCGCTAGGGTGGGTAGCTCGGCAACGATAACACCTCTTCTGCGATGTGGGAGTTGTTGTGTCGCTTTTGTATTTAGCTTGGCATTGACGTCCTGTGATTGGGCTCCTCCGTCATTGTTAGTTGTGTAGCGGTGGGTTTATAATTAACCGTGCAGTTGTATGGTTTTCAGGCCTGGTTTTCCTTATAAAGTGGGTCAATTCTCTTGTTTTAAATATAAAAGATGAACAAAGTTCCGCCTTAGGTTTCAAAAAAAAATCTTTACCTACTTAAAAAAGCGAAATCTGCTTCCAACCAAAATTTCATCCGTCCATCAAATCCAAGCGCCGCTTGGTGATTCATTCGCGTCACTCTGTGTGCATGCATCCACTAACACCCGATTCAAACTCCCACGTGTGTGTTTCTATTCCGAGTTATACAGAAATGGATTGCGACATTTTGGATGTGGATTCAGTCCGATTTTGGGGGAAACTGAAAGAGGAGATTGAGTGAATCAAAAGCCCTCCACTAATTTTGGAAGATTGAGAAAGATTCGACCTGATTTGATAGGGAGCATCGGCTCCAGTATCGTACGGGTACGAGACTGTCGTTCGGAGGTTGAAGACGCTGGTGTAGCGCGTGGGTATAGTTTGGCAACGAGAGGAGGTAGCCGAGTATGCTAGCTGGGTCTGCGGCTCCACTTGTTGGCTGAACCGGAGAGGCAGACTGAGCGGAAGTAAGAGTTGTTATACCGCTGAGAAAACGTTTTTACTTGTTGCAACACACTGACATTTTTTCTAGTTAAATAAAACAAGAAAAATACAATTACCTTGGTATCCAATTATTCATGCTTTAGGTGCATGGTATTACTCTCTCCGATGAGAAAATACATGACATATGGGTTTTTCCCCCATGGTCTTTGATGTGCGACTTTGCTAACAATTTTATATTAAAGTAAGCTTACATAATCTAATAAACTTAACAGGTTGTAAAAGTATATTTCAAGGAAGATCTACAATCACCATTTTTATGTTTTGGTTAAAATTAATTTACTAACGACCAAGTTTCAAAATTTAACCTGATATTACCAAAGCATCGAATATTTATTACCGGATGGGGTGCATATAGGAGTATTGATTTCTGCGTTACTTTGCTGTATGAACTCCTCTATGTGTACTAATGTCTGACTTTATATTTTAAATGTGGGCTTTAATGCTTATCACAAGAACTGGTGGTATATGTGACTCTTGTTTTAATTAGAACCACCAAATAGTACTACTTCACACGTGTTTGATATGTCTTCGTGAAGTTAGTGGGAAATCCAAAAATCAAATAATTACCTTTATCTGCAATATGCTAGGTCTTAGACTCAGTAGAAATATGTTTTTGACAAAGCTCCAATTAAGTCTCACATGCGAGTGCTCTTTAGACCTACCGATTGGTGCTGACATTGGTCGTTATTGCAAAGTTGTGAAGATGATAAGGACAAGATGAAGCATGTCGAACTTTAGAGACAATGGCGACACAAAGTTTTGCGCTCTAAGGTTTAATAATAGGCTAGACTTATTTGAGCAGGTTTAATAGCAGAGCTTGTCGCCTGCAGTAAATTTGGCCATGTCATCTAGAGCTTTAGTTTATAATACTTCATGCAGTAGGGAGCTGCACTATATGGTCTGATTATTTGTCAGTACTTTGGATACACCAATTAGTTTGCCTTCTCTTGAAGTTCACGTATAGCCAGCGACAATATAAGCGTTCATTCACACTCTCTTTCTAGCTCATTGCTTTTGCTAGACTCGATATTTTACCACCAGTTTAATTATTCTATTGTACCTGCTCTATTATATTACCAAATTTTATTCGTAGCCTTATGTCCCGCAAAAATTGTAATAATTGGTCGTGAAATTCTCAAAAGTTTTGCTCATAGAATTTTCGTGAAACATGCTAAATTGCAGTCTAATAAAACTAGACAACATAACGGGCTTTCACGGCCCAGCCCACGACATACCCACCATTGGCCATTTGGGCCTGGATTGGGCATCTCCGAATGACCCACTCACAGTCTCGCTCGTCGGAGCAGAAGCAGCCAAGAAAAGCGGCGGCCATGGCGGCGGCGGCGGCGGCGGCGAGCACCACGAGCATGATGACGAGGCCGCAGCTGCTCCACCTCTTCTCCCGCTTCTCCTTCCTCACCTCCCTCCCAGGTCAGCCTCCTGGCCTCTTCTTCTTCTACTACTTCTTCACCTCCTAATCCTGTGTCCCCTTTTCTCTAACCTGTTGTTTTTTTCTCTTCCTCGCCTCCGGCTTGCTTGCAGAGGTCAAGGCACGGATCGCCGACGCCGTCAGGGACAAGCAGGTGGGGGATTTGCTCGCCGATTCTTGAACGAACGGCATTCGATGCCTTTTAGCTGTTGGGGGAATTTATCGGATGGGGGTTTCTTTGTGTTCTTGGAATAAATGAATTCATGACATGCTGGATTTTATGAACCAGTCTTCTTTGGGGGTGCGATTGGAACAGATGAGCTTAGCTAGATATGTGAGTCCGTGGATTGCCAGAGATTTTGCAGAAATTGTTGTACTTGACTGTGTGAAATTAGCTTAGCTGCACTTATTAGTGAAAATTACAGAATGTTTTGATGTTCCTGTAGGAGGCTGTAGCGGTGACCACCGAGATACAGGAGGAGATTCTCCGCGAGATGGGAATCGGTAATGCTAGTGTGCGTTGTGTTTGAGAAATATGTTGCAACAATCTCTGATGCAAATTAGAGGTTGATACACTTTGTGATGAAATTGAAAACGTTGGAACTTCATTCATTAGAAGCTCTTTTTCTTTTTTTGGTTAAGTAGCTACTTATATTTGTTGAGTTAATTCACTTGCTTGAATTGTCGATTTCTTGTATGTTGTAACCTGTAAGAGGCACTGGAAGAAGTGTTCATATAATAATTATTACAGACTTTAGGGTAATAGAGTGGTTCAATTACATAGGATGCAGACCTAGGAAGAGAACATCTGTTATTGCGATAATTATTCGTTCTAAATAGCACTGTTGTCACTTGACGTGATATTTTGAACATCAGATCCAAGTTTTGGTATTGGCTGCCTTGGAAAGGTGAACGTTATGTATGAGGATGACATGGAATTGATGGTTAAGTTCTATCAGTTTGTTGCCAAGTAAGCACATTCCAAGCCTCTCGATAATTTTAGATGTGTGGTTTCATGTATTAGTTATATGTTTCCATGGTATTTAATAATATCGGATATACTAATTTTGTTAAATAATCAACCATCTGCATACTAGAGATATATTTGAACATGGTTCAAATTGATGAATCTATCTGGTGTTACTTCAAGTTTTCTTGTAGAAAGAGAAATTTGATCAATCAATTAGGGCACAAATCATAATGAACAGCTAGCATAATAAGAAACTGTAGCAATACACCAATGCCTGCCATATGGCAATTGGCAAGAATAGTTAGTGGATGGCATGTTTGACTTCAACTGTTGTCAACTACTCTAGACTCATGTTAATTTCTATCATTCAATTTGATAGAGAAGAGATGGCTATTGATGAAGCTGAGCTTGACCCTATAGAGTTTGCTGAAAAAATACATGCTCAGCATAAATTACAGGAACAGGTAAGGCAAATTCTTATTACGAAGATTTTCAGGAAAAAGAAATGTCTGTCATGTTTGTTTCAGGGAGCTAATGTCATGGTGGATTACTATTACAGCAACTGAAGATGTTGATTCAGATGAGAAAATATAACCCAGAGAGCCAATCCGTCATACTCGAAACTGTATGTGCTCTTACTACTCTCCCTAGCCGTTTTCCATCCCTCACCGAAACATATCTCAGTTGGACAAATTTATGAATTTCGTCCAAGTTCATTATCAGAAGCAATTTATGCTTATTTGTATCTAATCATCGATGCAGTTGCGCAAACAGTTGGAGAGTGCTAATTTCGATACCGACGCGTCGATCTTGACTCCGGAGCAGATCCAAGAGATTGTTGAGAACTAGATCAAAAAACCATATCAACAGCTATTGTGCATATGTTCTGTTTAAATCTGATTGCTGTACATTTCTATTGCTCATACAAGATATACCAGCTTAATTAAGTGTTACTCAGCTCTCGCCATGGTTTATGGCATCCATTGTGTTATCGTGTTAACTTTTGTCCACGTATAGTACTTTCTATACATAATTCAAGATTTTATACCCCCCAAAAAAGATCAATCACTGAAACACCACTAAGCGCATACTTGTCTTCTGATCCCATTGACAAGATCATGGCTACTAACAAGATAAAGCTCCAGGAAGGCACATGTGCTTACTGCTAGCTCATTGTGTGTATTTTCATAACATTTTACTGTATCTAAGATTGACATTATGATCCACATTACAGTAAAATTATAACGAGAGTTTTTTCTTTCATCACCTAGATGAGCATGCAGGTGCAGGTAGGCCCAAAGTGTGACCAGCAACAACATGCATTTTTTCCCCTCGAATCTCTTTTAATTTTTGTTTCTTTTTATGGTTTAACATCGTTGCAAGAAGCATCAAATCGACACACAACGAACCTAGAAACAGCATAAACTCGTTATTTTGGAAGTGCAATGCAGGTGTAAAACTGTCCAGTGGGTAACTTCTGAGCTATCACGCAATAACTCGATAACTAACTTGCAAATGTCTTGCATTAGCAGGAAAAATCTGAGGGAAACATCAAGCTGGAGTTGAGACAGGTCACATTGGCCAATCCATTAGTAAAGCCTGCTCCAGGGTAATCAGTGATCAAACAAACAACTTGTCCTAAGAGACCCTTTTGATGGTCAAAGAATCTTTTTCATGGTTAGTTTGGACATAAGGGATTAAACTGTAAAATGGATCCAAAACTTTCCTATCTTTCCACAACCGGTCTACTCCAACTCCAGAGGCAATCAATCAGACTATCGCACTATGTGAGTTGATCTGGGGAGGCAGCAGAAAGGCAGCATTTTACAACACATTCTCTTAACTGTAACAAAAGAATTGACTGATCAGTAGACTTGTCTGATGTTGATATTTATCCTTGAATTTTGAATGTAGTTTAAGATAAAAGAGTCATCTTCAGCAGATAGCTGCGGAACCAGCGCAGAGATTTCTGCCTGATCACTTCCTGTGAAGATTCGTGGAACACCTGCGATAAGAGGACGGGAAAGATAAAAATAGGAACATGATAAATATGGTGTTTGAATTAGCATTACCACTAAAAACAACTTTAGTTCAGTAAAATGCATTACCATGGAAGCATTCCCGTGCCTCCCCAGCCATCAATACGATATCACCACTTCGCAGAAACATTGCTGTTGGAACTTCATCTCTCGTTTTGCCTCCAAGAAGAAAAATGCACTTGCACCCCAAACTAAATTTATAAAAAGGAAGCCACTTTGTTAAGATCGAGTGACATCATAACATGAAAAAGTTAGTGAAGCATAATTATTACCTTATGCTTACAATAGGTTTACTCCAATCTGCTTCCATGTCATCAACGTGGCCACCAAGCATGTCACCTATAGACAGGGATAGGAACATGAAACTTTGAGATTATTTCCTATCATTTATATCAATCTAAAAGGACAGTCACTGTTGAAGGAGCAAATTACATACTTGGGCCATAATAGTTCACTATGGCGGCCTCTGGCTTGAATTCCTCTCCAGATGGCATGGCTGGAATGGCCATCTTTTTTGCAAGAGCAGATAGGAGGTCTGGAATCTTGTTATGTGGAAGTGATACATCATAGTTGCGCTGTAGTGACAGAAGGATTTTACACAAGAAGTCATTAGCATCCTTGGTTAAGTTGTCATTAGGAAGAGCTAATTGTACAACCTTTGCATATCTCCGTAATGTCAAAAGATTGCCAGTATGCCTCAAATTTCAAGCTGAACAAGATGATATAATTATATGATGTAAGCACTGTGAGATTATTTTGACATTACTTTCAGGGGTTGTAATGTTCAGGCACATAGCTTGCAGAACAGCCATACTAAAATAAAATTCCTTAAGTCCGTAGAATTGGCTGTGTATATCCCACTTGGGCATAGAGGTCAGATTTTTATCAATTATTTAAAAATAACGTATGTGAGCATGTCTTAGAGTTCTACTACCTCCATTAAAAAAAGAGAGAGAAGGTGCATAGTTTAAATAGGTTTGTTGATAAATATAAAAGGTTAGGATGTAAATTTAATGACTTTACCCTAACATGTGCTATTTATTTCCTATTCTGTCACCAAAACAATGTATTTTCCGTCCTTATCATACAAGTCTATTCCTTTCATATCTTTATCTATTCCGTCACCGCCTTAATCCTTATGTTATAAGATCAGAATTTGCATTATATCGATTAATGGGTAGGGAATAATTTTGTTATATACTGCAATGGAATTATATAGATTCATAATAATACCAAGATTGAAATGAATTCAGCATGACTGGAACAATTGCAGAAATCCTAATGGAAAGGTAAAATCTATCTATTACTTAAGTATCACTAGACAATATCAAAAGCACTACAAGCTGGAATAGTTCAATCAAACAAGAGAAAACAACATAAAGATCTAGTATAAAACTGGCATCGAAGCTCAAGGGACATACTTTTGACCAATCAAATTGCAGACCAAGGGTACTCCATCGGAGTTTCCGAACAAGGGTAGTTGCTGCAGTTGACCTGCATACCTCCCCCTTGTGTATCTCTGTGTCTTCAAGAAATTTGAAGCTATTGGATTTTCTTCCATCACTGTTCTGCTCGGATCTTTCTTGGTCATTGGGATTTCCCACTTCGACTAAAATCTTTCCACTTTTGGCAGCAGTGAGTAAGTCAAAAATTGGACCATACAAAGCTGTCAGGTTAGTTCTATTAGGAGGCTGTGGGAAGGTTTTCAAGCTTTCCCTGATCCAATAGCATTGTTCCTCAATAGATAGAGCACCAGGTATGAAATAGAATCCTACAAAATTAACACAAGAAGGATATCATTAAGTGTCACAAACATTATGATTTTTTTTAGAAATATGACCAATAGGAAGTGCAATGTACGATGTGAAGAATCAATATTAAATTGAGCAATGTATTAGTTGAATTATAATCAAATAGACTACATAATATTTGTTGCAGCTTGCGCACCATCTTTCTTTCTGGATTTATTCTAAATGACCAAACTTATCTTAAATTTCAGAGTGAGCTCTATGCCTCCATCAAAGGTATAATAACAATACAAGTCTAGCATATGTTACATAGGTAGTAAGATGGCATCCAGGAATGAATCACACCAAGGATTTGGTATCTTGCTGCTACCAGAGCAATCATGACAAAAGTAACACACTGTTGTGATCACATACAAATCAAGCAATGTTGCGAGTATAACAAGCAAAGTAGTAGTATACCCAAAACAATACTTGAATCAAAATACATTAGGTGCTAAAAGAGTATATATAAAAATAATAAGCAAGTAGTATGCCAAGAAAGCATCTATGGAGTATGATAGGGTGATCAAAAATCCGAAGCTCCCAAACTAGCCGCCATGAACAATCGAGAAATCGAACTGTGAAGCGAATGGTGGAGCTCCCAGATTTTACCAGGTCGGTCCAAGAAGCAGAAGAGGTCGAACCCGGCGACGTCGCGCCTCCCGATCCCGGCGGGCAGCTCCCCCCCGCCGCCGCCGGCGGCAGCGAGCAGCGCGTGGAAGTCGACCACCGCGGACAGGTCCTCCAATCCTCCGCCGCCGCCGCCGCCTCCTGGCTTGCTCCTGCAGCGCTGCAGAGGTCAGGGCGGCTAGATAGATGGATGGATGGATGCGTGTGGACAGGGGGAGAGAGGGGGAAGGAGAGGGAGAGGGATCGAGACCTTGCCCTCCCGCCCTTGGGCTTCAGCGGCTTGTAGAGCTTGTACTGCTTCTCGGCTCGCCGGAACGCCGTGCGCTCCGCGGCGGCGGCGGCGGCCGGCTCGGTGTCGCCGTACATCGCCGGAGGGAGAGGTTTTCTGACGGGTCTGTCTGTGGGCGGTGGCCTAGTGGCTGACCGGTGGGCCCAACAAGCGTGGTCAGGGTTTTGACCTGGGAATTTCCTGCCACCATTATTTTTCACGAAACCAGGTACTCCCTCCGTTACATACCGTTACATAATACAAGCCACAACTATTTTTTAAGTTACATAATATAAAACATGATGTATGCATACAATTAATTAGAACATCTTCTCTATTAAATTATTACTTTTTTAATCTTCTACCCTCAAGATCTCTAATTATATTTATTAAGATGATTTAAATTAGAATATGATAATAATTATTTATTGGTCTTTGGGTTAAGAGTGGTTGTGCCTTATATTTTGGAACGGAGGGAGTAATAAACTCCTACTATCGGGTAATCTATGTCTCATATTATAAGTTGTTTAGCTCTTAGTCAAAGTTCTTTAGATGTGACTAAATTATTGAAAAAACTAATAGCATTTACAACACCAGATTAGTTTTAGTAAATTTAGCATTGAATATATTTTGATAATGTATTTATTTTATATTTAACGTATTAGTATATTTTTCTATAAACTTACTAAAAGAGTCAAATGACTTATAATATAAAACAGAGTATTAAGCACTGTGAAAGTGATATATAACTACACCCGAATCGCAACACTACTGCCACAAGTATAAGGAAATAAAATATGCATGTACACGGTATTTTCTGATAGCAAAATTTAAAAAGCAGGTGCCCGTTGCTCCTCCCAACCATTGCATGCCCTGCCTCTCTTGCCTTTTGTATGTTGCATCTTTATCCTCTAAAAAACATAGATGACTCAGGATTTTATGAACATGTTGAATCAACATATACACATTTTGTAAAACTTCGCTAGCTGAGATGGATCCATTAGAGAGGTTTCGTGAACTTGTTGAACTAAGGCTTCCCAAGCCAATATTGTAGCCAAAACTCCACTCCTACCCAATTTCCCTCCACTTTCTCCTAATCACAGTTTCCATAATCCTCACAATTTACCCAATCCTTACCACCTAATTTTCAAACCTTCCACCCTTTTGGTCCTCCAGCCAACTATCACCTATATGGTAGTTCTCCTAACTTTCAAGGTTTTCAGTAGCAAGTAAGTTGATTATAATCTGCGCCGATAAGTTTTCAAGATTTTTGTCCTCAAGAAAGTTGGGTGCACTCACCAAATCAAGTTGTCGGGTCTGTCTCTTCTCATTGATTAGAATCAACCTCTTAGCGCCCTGCAAGACAAAAAGAGAACAATCTAGTTAACATCGAAGAATCAAGTGATAATAGCCAAGAGGCAATGAGTTGAGGAACACATGTCAATTAGACTGGAGAAGAAAATTTACAACTCCTCAGCTCTTGGTTCAATAACAACACATCTAGCAATAACCGTAAAAAGAGAGTCATGCAATACAAGACACATTGGGGTGGTGTTAAGAAGGATATTATAAAATTTTGTCGAGCTTATTCTTGAGCTAGAAGCACCTGGAGCAGTGGATACTCTGATGATATGATAATGAAGAAGGCCCATGCGGTGTATAAATCAGAAAACAATGAGAAAACTTTCACATTAAAGTATATGTGGAGAGAATTAAATGATCAAGCAAAATGACAAAGGATTCTTGAAGAGGACAGCAAGAATAAAGAGGACGAGGATGTACTTCCTCTGCAGCTATGAAATCCCTCGTACGAAATTTTGTGGTTTGAGGATAATTGTAACTGTTTCTTTCACCAGATCTTGTTTATTTGACGACAATTATAGGTATTTGAAATGTGCTTCCTACAAAGCTGTGTTTTAAATCCAGCTCCTCCTGCAGTTCATTGACGTGCTGTTCTTGTAGCCCACACAAATTCTTCATCAAATTTGCTTCTTGTTCTAATGTGAAGTACAGAACTCACAGAAAACCACTTTATGAAGAACAAACATGATTAATTAGAACATAGCATTTCATCACAGCTGCAAGAGCTGAACCTCTGGATGCATCAATCTCAAACCCAATATTTTTTTTAAAAAAAAATGGGATTATCACTTCATTATTGTTCCAAACAAACAAAAGAAAACAAACAGGCAGTGAAACAACAACAATTCGGTTTACTAGTATACACTTTACAAACTCTCTGCTTGTCTTTGCATTGCATCAACCATCAAGGAATTCAGTTCGAGCTATGGAATTGCATCAATCCAGTACCTAAAGAGTAGAAAGATCAATTCTTCACATTAGCTCAGCTCACACTAGCTATGAACAAACCAACTGCGCGGTCGCCGTCGCCGTCTTCAAGAACGGCTCCTGTCTCCGGCGATGCCGATGGAAGGGGGATCTGTGTGCTGCATTGCCAAGAACCGGCGATGTCTCCGGGGAGCATTGGTTATTGGTCCGGCCATCCTTACAAGATCTGGGCGGGGCCGGTCGAGCAGAACGCGTCCGGCGGGCCGCCGCCGGCGACGCGGAAGTGCCAGAGGCGGCCCTTGGCGGCGGCGAGGTTGTCCTCGCAGAGGTACTCCCAGGCGTACCACCGCTCCACCGTGCGGTGCACATCGTGCACGGCGACGTCCACCGCCTCCCGGCCTCCCGCCGCCGAGGCGCGCGCCAGCGCCCGCCGCCGTGTAGATGGCGCCCATCCGGCCGGGCTCCCCGGCGGCGGCGCCGCTCGGCCCGTCCACGACGAGCACGTCCCACCTCGCGTCGAGCACCTCCCGCGGCAGCGTGGTGATCAGCGCCAGGTGGCAGCCGGACCTGCGCACCGCCCCCGTCGGACGCCGGCACGCCGGGCTGTCCCGCGCGCGCCGCAGCAGCGGCCACGCCTCCCCAGCCGCGTCGCGGTACCTCACCTGGTGGATCTTGGCCGCCGCCGCCGCCGACGGCCGCCGAGCCGCCGCGGAGCGAGCGGCGCGCGCTGTCGGCGTCCTCGGCGCTGTCGGTGACGAACGCGGTGGCGGCGCCCTCCCCGGCGTTGACCGCGGCGAGCGCGGCGAGCTGCGGGGAGAGGCCGAACACGAGCAGCCGGCACGGCGCGCGCGCGGCGACCACGGACCGGAGCAGTGCGGCCTCCTTGGGCGCGAGGCCGCCGTCCCCCACGTCCGTCCCGTTCCCCCACGCCGAGGCGCGGCCGCGGCGCGCGGCGGCGGCGGGCGACGAGGAGCCGGTGAGGAGCAGCAGCTTGACGAAGGAGAGCGCGCAGAACACGACGAGGACGACGGTGAGCACCTGCTTCGGCGACATCACCTTGCTCCCTCCGCCGCCGCCGACGCCGACGCCGCCGCTGCTCATCTGCATCGATCCGGATGCTCCTCCTCCGATCTGGCCTCTTCCTGTGAACACTCTACCGATGATTTCTTGATCTGGTCTTCTTCCCCATTGATCCGCCAGATTGCCACCCAGATCTCCTCCTCCTTCTCTGGTTCTTGGATTGGGTTGCTTGCTGCTGTTGCTGGTGTGGCTTGGTGTGTGTGATGGTGATGTGTGACTAGCTTAGCTAGCTGCCTAGCTAACTTTGTCCTCTAAGCAATTAGGGTTTGGTTGGTGTTGACTTGTTTTTGTGTATGCTGATGTCTTTGTGCCATTTTCCAGAGGTTGGAGAAGCTAAGGTTGTTGAACAGTTCATGGGGGTGGGGAGTCACTTTGCTCAACTATTTTCTTCACAATAATAACTCTCATAATACCCGTGCGTTGCAACCGATTTATTTTAAAAAATAGTTCGTGGCATATAAATTTTAAGTATTCATATTGTCTAACATATAGCGATGAAAAAATTCATAATAAAAATATTTGATTCTCATAATTTTTTATGTATCTGATTCATGGGGCTAGGGGAAAAAAAGCAAAGTCTCTTCTCATTTTTTTTTCCCACGTGTTAGTTCGGAGTGGTGGCTGTCACCACCACTACTATTTTTTAAATTAGTTTTTCTTCACAATGATTTATTAAATTGACATTTTTTTTGTTTTTAGTTCTTTCGTTTGTTTAATTAGTATTATTTTTTGTTTGCTTTGATTTGAAGAGATATTTTTCGTGATAATTTATTTCCCTTTGATGTGATAACATGGATCTGTTGAGCTGGTGGTACGGTGCGATGGGAGTAGTGTGCTTTGCAATGTACGAGTGACTTCAGAATAGGAGAATATAAGACATTTTTGTGTTCATTATTTTGAATAAAATCCGCAGTATGTTATTTTGTCGCGCTTCTTCATAAGTTTTCCATGATAATTTTTTGGGTAAGGTAACAAGCATATTTAGGGTCAGGAAACAAGCAATAAAATACGCTTTATGTTACAATTTTTTTCCTTACTTTTCCATTTTAACTGAGGTGAATAAACTTGAGTAATTTTTTTTATAATAGTGTAACTTTTTTTGGAGGTAATACATTGGAAAAGGTTAATGTCAGATTCAAATTCTTAGGGTACCTTTGAAACACAACAATTGAAAAACGGCGGAATAGGAAAAACACATGATTCCGATAAAAATTCAAGTATAAAACATAGGAAAACATAGAAATGACTGCTTGATTGGATCGCAGGAAAAACGTAGGAATAAGATAAGAGAAATAAATTCAAAGAAAATTTCCGCAGGTTGAAGCTCTTGTTAAATTTCCTCCAAAATTTCTATATAATTGTCCTTTCCATAGGAATTTTAAAATATAGGATATGATTAAATCCTTTGTTTCAAAGGCATTTATAGAAAAAATTTCTATACGATTCAAATTCTTCAAAATTCATATATTTTTCTTCCAAATCAAAGGCCCATAGATCATTTAAGGACAGCCACCCATCCACAAATCTCCTGTCAGATCCAGGCCCAATATTATAATTGGAGAAAATGATTCGGGCCGAATGTTGGTGGGCCTTGTCAATTGGGTCTTGTGTACCTCTGGGCTTGCATTTCTTTTTTTTTTTTTGGAAAAAGTATACTGGAGGTCCCTAAACTTGCCACCGAGATACAGAAACGTCCTTGAACCGCAATACCAGACACCCGGGGTCCCCCAACTATACAAAACCGGTCATCCAACGTCCCTCGGTGATTTTGACCCCGGTTTTGATCTACGTGGCGGCTGAGTTAGTGTGGGACCCACGTGGCCCCACATATCAGGTGTCCACATCATCTTTATTTCCCCTCTTCTCTCTCCCTTCCTCCCCTCTCAGCTCTCTCTCTCGCAGGCCAGGCCGACGGGTTAGGGAGCAGACGGCTGGGCGGTGGCGCTGCGACGGCGGCCTGCGGCCGGCGGCGGCGGCGTCGCCCTCTTCTTCTTCTCCCGCTCCCGCTCCGTCCTTATCGAAGGTGATCACCGCGGCATCGGGCACGATTAGGAGGATGCTCGAGGAGGGCCGCGGCAACGGCGGCGGCGGTGAGGACGACGTCGTCGTCAACCTCCCCGAAGTCGTCCAGGGCGCTGCCCTCGCCCGCGTCATGGAGTACTGCGACCACCACCACGGCGGCGGCGCCGACACGGGCTCCGCCCGGTCCTCCTTCCCTCCCGCCCTAGCAAGCGCAGCAAGCGAGGGAGCGCGGCGGCCAGCTCCTCGCGGTGGCCAGCGCGCAGCAGAGGACGGCCACGCCGGACGCCGACGCTCCGGCCTCGCCGGAGCCAATGAACGCCGCGGAAAGCGCGGCAGCGCCGGCCAGCGCCTCGCCGTGGTTAGCGCACCGCAGAGGATGGCCACGCTGGACGCCCACGCTCTGGCCTAGCGGGAGCCGATGAACGCTGCGGCGAGCGCGGCGGCGCAGGCCAGCGCCTCGCCGTGGCCAGCGCGCCGCAGAGGACGATGGCGGCGGAGTACGGGATGGTAGCAGAGTGCGGGATGACGGCGGCGGGCGGGACGACGGCTTCCCCTTCGCCGTCGTTGAGCTCGTCGTCCTCGCGACCGTCCGCGTCCTCGCTGCACTCCACCGCCGCGCCGTTCGAGGTGGGCGCTGCCCTCTTCTTCTTCTCCCGCTCCCTCCTCATCTCCCTAGACGCCCAACTCGCGGCCGTCTCGTTCTCGGCTTCGGCGGCGGCGGCGAGGGGGGAGGAGTTGTCGGCTTTGGAGGAGGAGCGCTTGCGGTCGGGGTCGGGGACGGCGGCGGCGAGGGAGCCCGGGAGGCGGAGGGTGAGGTCGGTGTCCTCGAAGTCAAGCCCCAACACCGCGGACGACTGGAGCGGCTGTGTGCGCCTGGTGCTTCGACTCACGGACTTCGCCGGCGTTGGTCTTCACGGCAGCGTCGGGTGCCTCCCCACGTGAGCGGTCGACGAGGCGCGCGGCCTCAGCGAGGTCGTCGCGGGTGATGCAGGCGGCGGACCTCGTGCCTCGGTTGTTGGGGGACGACGTGCTGGGGGCCTCGGGCCTCGTGGCGGCAGCGGCGAGGTGGGCGTGGTGTGCGCGGCCATCGCCGGCCGCCGTCACAGCGCCGCCGCTCGGCCGTCTAATCCCTACTCATCGGCCCGGCCTGTGAGAGAGAGAGCAGAAAGGGGAGGAAGGGAAAGAGAAGAGAGGAAAGAGAGATGACGTGGACACTGACATGTGGGACCCACGTGGGTCCCACGCTGACTCAGCCGCCACGTAGACCAAAACCGGGGTCAAAACCACTAAAGGACCTCAGGTGACCGGTTTTGTATAGTTAAGGGACCTGCATATCTGGTTTTGTGGTTCGAGTACGTTTTTTATCCCGATGACAAGTTGAGGGACCTTCGGTGTACTTTTTCTTTTTTTTTTTCTCTTTCAAGTGGACTGGGCTGTACTTTAGCTTGCAAATTTGCCATGAAATGCAAACCTTTTGCTCAACATTTTTATAGTGACGAGAAAAATGAAAAGAGGCAAGGTAGAGGGGGGGGGTGGCTGATACGCGATCAGCCGCGCGGGGGTGCGCGCGCGGTCAGTCGCCCCCTCCTCTAGCCTATATCTAATCTACTACTATACATTATATGTATATACGTATGTATATGTGTATATATATAAATATTTTTAATGCATAAAAAATATATACATATATACAAAGTTTATATACGATGTATATAAAGTTTATACAGGACATATACAAACTTTGTATATGATAAATATAAACTTTATATACATACGTATTAAAAAATAATAAAACTAAAAACTACACAACATATACAAACTTTGCATACGTATATACAAACTTTGCATACGCGTATACAAACTTTACATACGTGTATACAAACTTTGTATATATACAAATACAAACTTAATATACATACAAATACAAATTTTGTATCCATACACCTTAAAAAAACTGGGAAAAACATAACAGAAACCGGAAGAAAAAAAAGGAAAAACCAACCGAACAGAAACGGAAAAAGCGGAAAAAACAAAAAAAAACGGAAAAACTCTCTCTCCCTTCTCCTCCGCGTGGCACGTCCGCCACCCCTCTCCGCGCGCGACACGTGTCCAGTCGCGTGGGGAGAGGCGCGTGCGACTGTTCGCCAACTAGCCTTCTCGAGGTAGAAGAACCAAAGGACTTCGTTTGGGACAGGGAACTATGGTATTCGTCTGGAACTCCGGGCGAACCTGAGGTTTCGGGCAATATACTATGGCTTGGTGCCTACCAAAAAATGCCTATTTTGCAAGAAGTCCATTTTGATACCCTCATAGAGTATAACCCGAGTCTAATATTTGACCGTAAAACCAGAAAAGAAATACGTCAATCTTCACCTATTAATACCGGATCAATTTAGCTCCATCTATTTTGGACATTGGTTTTGTCCTATGCAACATATTGACCAGATCAACCCGTGCTAACGTGGCTTCTACGTGGCCATATGTGTGGTATTACAAGGTAAAAAGATCATAGTGAGATGCACATGTCAGCAGCATCACCTCTACCCACTCTCCCTCCTCCAGGCGACCCGGCTACCAGATGAGGCATTGCAGCGACACCAGTGCTCGATCTCCGCCGCAAAATTGCCCGGCATGTCAGGGTCTTGGTCCTCTTATTCATTCTCTGACCTAAGATAATTTATATAATGAATGAAAATCAAGCTAGATGCCTAGATTATTCAAATCTGCAAGGTTGATGTTGGTTATATCCTATAAATGTGTGCAACATATTAAGGAAAACATATTCTATACATATAACTTTGGGATACACATAACATACACGCGAACTAACAAATGATATTGAAAATTTTATAAAAACATTGTCGGTGTATTTTCAATAGTATTATACATATTTTTTTACGTGAGTAGTATTACACATATTAAGTCTCAATTTTAATTTCAATATATTTTAGACTTAAAACTTTTTTGACAATTTTAAGGATATAAGTATGTCAAATTTTTTGTCTTTTTTCTCTCTTCAAAATATGATTTTGAAGATGATTTTGAAGATAAGACTTTATACATAGGTGTAATACTATTAGAAATATATATACAATTTTTTTCTAGATTTTTCTGTTTGACATTTATTAGTTAGTGTGTGCATCTGAAGTTTATTTGCATAAGATATGTTCGATCATAATATGTATTTCAATTCAGAACACGATTAGGAGCCATGCAAATATGACCAAAATTTAGAACGTGTCCATGCTAATGGTATTTTCTAATAATCTTAAAACTATTTGCATCTGAAATGAGAGATATTTTTGTTTCTCCATACATAATTAGGTTCATTTTATTTTGACGTAATTTTTTTCCTTTGGGATACTAGAATCATCATTAGTTTACCACATTTTTACGATTTAAATATACACATAAATCTAACATTTCTTATTAGGAAGACATATAGTTATTTGTCACAACTGGCTCACAAAATATGTCCCTCTCAAATACCTGGGGACCAA